ACACAGTCTTGCACACTGGAGATAAAAGTTTTTTTTCCCCGTAAAGTGTTGCCATTGTTTGCTTTAAAATTGCTCAGTTTGTTAAATCAAAAATTCATTAAAGTGTTACAAAATATGAAATTGTTAATAAAACAAATTTTGGTATTATTCAATTTCGAGGGCCGTAAAAAAATTGCAGCGAAAATGTATGCGCAAAAGCGCCAAACCTAGCAAACGTGCCCATTTAACAGCGCGCCAAATATAACGTACGCGCTGATTTCAGATTGTGTGAGTTTATATAGTTCTATATTTCTTAAGACGCCATTGAAACACTAGTTTACTTTTTAAACCCTTTTTTCATATCCTATGGATTTAACAATTTGGGAATTGCACATGATGAAAAAGTCGACAATAGAATTTGGGTAAAGTGGCAGAAGAATCACCCACTGCTTGACGCGTTTTTTAAGAATTGCACATACTCGGTATCCATGTGCACATCGACCTATTTTCACTTAAAAAAAAAAAAAAATCCTAGAATTGCACAAAAATGGCACTGCACACATCTTTGACTATCTATGAGCACATCGACCGATTTTCACTTAAAAGTAAAAGAAAAATTGACAAAAATGCAATTGTTTTTAACCCTTGTAAAAAGCGGCAAAAAATAAAAGTGAGCGATTCTGCACTTTACCGAGAATATTTTCAAAGAAAAGGCATCGTTCATTATAGAAAACTATGTTTGAACAACCGAGATGAAATTATGCTTTAGCGATAAATCGGTAGCGAAATAGCGATGCAGGCATTCATTCAGTTATGTTTAGCAATTTTATATAAAATTATAATGATCTGAAATAATTATTTACTCTTATGCTTCCATTCAGTCATGTTTAGCCTTTTCATATAAATTATAATAATAAAAATGTATTATATGAAATTAACCTTTCATCTAAATTAAAACATCTTAAATTGTTATTATTATTATACTTCCTTTCTTGCTGCAATTATTAGGGTTGCTACAACTATTTTTGACAGATATGGCATCAAACAATTTGGCGATTTTTTATGGCCCTCAAAACCGAATAGTACCCAAATTTTAAATTCCTACTTTGGGCTTCCAGATGCCCATATTTGGGGGGAAGATTTCATTATTCAAAATCTGATGGCTCTGTGTAACGTTGTTTTATACCAATGCAAAAAACATACATATATTTATGCAGATTCTTCATTATTTAATTTCTTCAAATATAACACAGGGCGATAATACTTTGTGGCAACAGTTTGAAAAGTAAAACAACATTTATAGTGAACCAACACAAAATGACAAAACGAAATTAATAGTCATTCAGGGCAAATTGCCCCTTTGGACTAATAACAGCCTATTCCAATTGCAGATAACTCTTAAATAGTTGGAAATAAGTGCCAATTTAAAATATTCAATATTTTAAATAACTTATTTAAAAATAAAATAAATCTATAACTACATTGAATAAAAAATACCTGATGAATTCTGATATTCCATCATAACTGAAAGGTCCTCTGAGAATAGAAAATTTCATCTTCTTCCTGGCATTCAACACAGCCATAGCCTAAAATATATATTGTTTCAATAGAAGTAATCAAAAATAAATATTAAACTGAACACTTATTAAATAATTTATTAATTAATATGCATCCACAAACTTAAAAGGAAAAGGGCAAACAAATATAATTTCCCCTTTTACAGATAATTTATTCATTACACTTAAATTAATATCAGTCTTCCTTTACAAATAATTAATATTTAGTTCAGTTATCTGACTATTGCAAAGTACATGAGGGTATCTGATGAAGTGGAGGAATACTACTTTGTTGAAGACCTTCTAATGGAAACAGGCTTTTATGTTATGCATAAGAAAATAATGAAACCAACCATGCAGCCATCCTATTAGTCCGAGTGAACCTAAGTTGAAATACTGCTATTCATCAATCAAAATATCTTGAAAGGGTTAATTTCACTTTTACTTTGAAGTACATTTACAGCTTTTAAATGTATATTACACACTATTTAGGCAACATATATTACACAAAGAATTCAAGTACTACCTGCACAAAAATGAATACCTTCATGTATTCAACATTTTGTTAAACATCATACCAGGCTCATATTCACATTATAGACCAGTGGTCTTTAAACTTTGCAAACTCGTGAACCCTTACAACTATAAGTTTTTTTTTTTGGGGGGGGGGAACCCCTTCACAATCTTTTAGAAATGCATCTCAAAATATTTAAAATAGATCAATCAGTATGTTACAAGTACTTTCGCAAAGACAATACAATAGTAAGGCATTTTTAATTAAAAAAATTTATTATAAAAAATGTAATTTACTCATTTACAACATTAATTTGTGACCTAAGTGTCACATACTTATGCAGTATATTTGACGACAGGGGTGCACTTGCTCCTTTTTTAATATATATATATATATATATATACACACACACACACACACACACACAAAACTGTTAAAGTCTAGTTCTACTAATATTACCTGTATTAAGATTTCACATCCAGCATTTAATTTTTTTCTATATTTTGTTTTTATTGCCATATACAGGGTGAAATATTTTTTGCTTAAATACATTGTTCTGAATAGGCATTAAAATGCTTATAGCTGTGAGAGAAACTTCTGGGTATTCTGCAAATCTATCTAAAAAACTGACTAATTTTTAAAGGTAACTGAATGTATCTTTATGTATTTTTAAATTATGAACACTAGTTAACTAGTACAAGTGCTTTATAATTTTCTTTTCACTTGCGGAACCCCGGGATTTCATGAAACACAGTTCAAAACTACTGTCAAGGAGTAAACAAAAGCATGAAAATCATACAACTAAACCATTCTATATTAACAGCATAAAACTATCGGCATTTCACAGCTTTAGCTACTCAGCCATGAGAACATAACTAATGTAATTGCTATAAATGACAACTATTTATTTTAATCATTCTTCATTAATTTAATCCCTGTTACTGTGAAATTAAGGAAAAAAGGAAATGTCCAAAATGCAATCAATTGCAATTTATGGTTTTGAAAGCTATCGTCAAACTAAGATGAAAATTCATCAACGTTTTCTTTTCATTGATTTAATCCCTTAATAAGCACATTTGAATGAACCTCATATTGCCAGAAATGTGAATCATTATTTTGTTACAGCCATATTCACTGAGCACTTTTGCTTTGCCACATTTCATTAGTGCCAGGCATTGTCAGCTTAATTTGAAGTTCTTCCGTGGTGATAATTGTGCTTATGACCATTTGTTGTACAGTTATATTTTCCATCTAATCTTTTTTTTTTTTTTTTTTTTTAACAGCAATGGATTTTATGAATTGGATATTTCCAAGAGATGAGTAACTGTTATTCTGTTTCTTTAATAAAGATAATCTTTGGAATGATTATACTTTAATAACCACCACATGGAATTAATATGATGAGACACTGAAATGGCTGTGCAGACTTCATTGATGCTGGGAATAATGAAGATGTCCAAACACAAATTGAGTTTCTTGAATTGCAGTTTCCTTTCATCACTGCCACATTATTTGTTTAGTTGTGGTGTTGGTAATTACCATTACCAAAACTTGCTTTAAGTACTGAATCAATTTCAAAAGCATGAAAAAGCAGCCTGGAATACCATAGAAACAATTGCCGCAACTTAGGCTGGATCTCCACTAACTTTCACAACTGATGGGATAATACACAAGTACATAAAAAATAATACATGCTGCAGAGCACATTATTTGCTCCTACATGCATAGTAGTTAAGAACATATATTTATTACAATTATTTATTAGGTTTAGAAAAATTGTATATGTAATATAATTTTTTTACTTCAAAATTCTTTGAATGTTAGCTAAGTCAATGAAGTTAAAAGCGATAACTTACCGGATAACCAAAACCTCCAATACCCAAAGCATCTTCTAACTGTGGTTGGGCTAAAGCTTCTGCCCAAACCCATCCCCACAAATTTTTCCTATAACGATTACCAACCTTCTTTAAAATATCAATGTATTCATTTCTGCATGCAGATTGACAATCTAATATGTGAGGCAATATACTAATGACACACAAGGGATGATTCTCACAAGCATCTTTCAGGACTGAAGCATCAGTTACCTTAAATAGAAAGAAAATTTAATTATATAAGATTAAGTTTATAATAAGTTTCAGTTATAACAATTAAATTCAATGATTAAAAAACACTTAAGAATATCATTTTCCTAACTACTTCCCATGCCCTTTAGTATTTTCTATCCCCTACATTTTCAAAATCCTAGGTTGGCAGAAAATTAACTTTCTAATAGAAAATTAATCATATACTTCATTAGTAAAGACTTCAATAACAAAATGTTTACAAATATCAAGTCAAATACCTTTATATCAGATAAAATTCTTGGTGAACAGCATATACTGCCAAGCATAACATGAAAAAGCATAGTATCGCTATCACAGAAAATAGCTAACATGAGAAAGCATTTATTCTCATAGTTATTATGCTTTTTGACATTAGTAGTATCTACTATTCCATTGTGGTATTACAGTAAGAACTAATTGCAAAATTTATTTTAAAAAATGAACATTATGCATAAATTAGAGGCTACACAACAATATACTCAATAAATACATGGGACTTGTAAATCATTTGCAGTTGCATAAAATGTAACTTTTTTGAAAAAAAAAAAAAAAATTTTTTTTGGAGGTATTAATAAAACCCATTCATAATGCTAAAATTTCTCTGTAATTCAGAATTCTTCATACATATTTTATCTATTAAAATCAAGCTACATTTTCCTTTCTAGTACAATCATATTAATTAAAATAATGAAATTCATGAAATTAGTATCAAAAGTAAAGACATGTTATTGAGACTGAGCAAATGCCAATTTTCAAATCTAATTTTGAACATTACACATCTTTTTGTTGTATTCCTTTGTTTTTTTAAGATAATCTTTTCATTTATTTACATTACAAATTTTTAATGACTTCTAATAAAACATATATATTTTGTAAAATTATAAATATATTTTTAATATTAAAGCTGAAAAACCTATTTAATACATTGAACAATAACAACAAGATACATCACTTTCTTATTATCTGCACTCGTGCTCAACAGTTTTCAACTATTTGAAAGTTCGTGAAGACTTTGCGAATATAGAGATTATTTGTGAACTTATTAACAACTTTAGAGAGAAACATTTGTCTGGTTATCACTACATCTATTTCAATGATGCACTGAATGCCACCTATTTTTTCCAACAAAAGATAGATACACACATTTTTTTGCTTCTTTGCACAGTTTTTCTCCTAAAGTGCACAGAAATTTGTTTTTCCTAAAACCTATCAGAGAAATGTACAAATTCAGCTTTGTACATTAGCTACACTCATGATCACGTTTAAGAGCAGTTGAAACTTTGATGTACACTCTTGTAATGAAAATGAAAGACAGCAAACTCCATAGTTACATTATGATTCATTACAACACAAATGTATTCAATATAAAAAAGCAATACCAGACAGAAAAATGACTGCTGAATTCAAAAGTACTCAAACATATCCATGCTACACATACAATCTGGGTTGCCCCACATAAATACTCTTTAAAATCTCAAAAATATTTTAATACTGTAAAAAGATGTTTATACTTTAGTACACAACAGATTTACAGCATAGTTTGATACCTAACTCCAAGATACCCACAGAAACTTCAATTTATTACATATAACAAGAATGAACATTTATTCCCATGAAGGCAGGTAAAAGAAACCTAGCACAATTGAATCTAATAGATTATCTGCAATAACAACAGAATTTCTCCATTTAATAAAATCTAAAATCATGAAAATTGCAGACTATAGTTCTATAGCTCTTAATTAACATTAAATCTCATTAAAACTAATGTTTAATTACATGATAAGTAACTGTAAACTGTTCTTCATTTGACCCTTATATAAATATTACTGAATTGGATTGGATTGGATTATTGTAATTTGGCACAAAACCTATCAAGATTATCTGCACCAGACAAATGGTAACAATGCAATTAGTCATTTGTAAAAACTTCCAGCTTAGGTAAAAAGAGACAGATTACAATCTATGATAAAAGCTGATATCTTTTAAAAAACAGGTTAAAGTCTATTATAAATAGCCAATATCTTTTAAAAACAGAAACAAATTACGATGATGTGTTTTTCCAATTAAATTTCCTAAGTCCAGTTCTGAACAATTAAAATGTTTTTGGCGAAAATAATTAAAACTCTGGCATTCCACCAAGATATGATTGACTGTCAGATCTGCATTGCAGTTTGGGCAGCTGGGATTCTCTTCTCCCGTCAGAAGATACTCATGGGTCAGGCGACAATGGCCAATTCTCAGTCGAGTCAAGAGGACATCTTCCTTTCTATTAGCCATACATGGCCAGTATCCAATGGTGGGTTTTACATTTCTCAACTTGTTATATACAGGGTGTGATTATAATTAAAGTTTAAGTTTAAAAACGCTATAAAAAAGAACCACTGATGAAAATGATGTGAAATCTGAAAGGAGTATTATTGAAGAAGGCGGAAAGCGTATGGCAGAAGAAAAAAATTTAGTTTCAAAAGTTAGCAACAGATGGCGCTGAAAGCGGCAGCAGAATCACGACGAGAAACGAGAAGAGAAATTATTCGTATTTTAAAAAACAACGGCTAAGGTGGAAGTTACATATTAAAACACATTGATAAATTAAAATGTTGAATACTTTTATTTGCATGACTGTACATATCACATCGAAAGGACAAATCGGTTTCAAGAGTTTTGCGGCGACATACCGCATAAGAACCATTCATCAAAGAAGTTCGGAACTGTCGCGGGAGACTGGCGCAAAACATGTTCAGTATGGTGTCCACCGTTGTGTGCAACAAGTTGAAAGCGAAAAAAAAAAACAGCATGTTTCCACAACGGATCGCAGTGTTCTCCGGGGTGATGTTCAGAATGTGTTGCGAAATGCGTGCCTTTAATTCCGCTGAATTTGCAATTGGAGCACGGAACACAACATCCTTCAGATATCCCCACATCCAGAAATCACACGGAGTAAGATCAGGCGATCGGGACGGCCAGGCTGTAAGGAAATGACGGCTGATAATTCGAGCATTTCCGAAATGGCGCCTCAGCAGCTGCTTCACGGGATGTGCAATGTGCGGAGGAGCGCCATCTTGCATAAAAATGATTTCATCCACGCTGTTGCAGAGCTGGAATCACGTGGTTGCGCAAAAGAGACGCATACCTCTGACCAGTGACGGTTGCGGTAACAGGACCGGAAGCACCCGTCTGCTCGAAAAAATATGGTTGTAGGATGAATGATGCCGTAAAACCACACCATACTGTGACCTTTTCAGGATGAAGTGGTACGGGGTGCGTTGCCAGTGGATTTTCTGTTGCCCATATTCGACAATGCTGGGTATTCATGTATCCTGTCAGATGGAAATGGGCTTCATCTTCATCTGTCCACAAAATTTTCCACGGCCATTCATTATCCACTTCCATGCGAGCCAGGAATTCTAACGCAAACGTCTCCCTAGCTGTCAGGTCAGATGGAAGCAACTCCTGCACATGGCCAATTTTGTACGGATAGCATTGCAGGATGTTTCGTACAATTTTCAGCAGTGTGCTCGTAGGCCTGTCCAGTGCTTCCGAGCAATTCCTCGTGCACTTGCACTGGTTGCACACCACCGGCCGACCCCTCCTGTAATGCTGTGGCCACTTTCTTCAACTACCGTCGAATACACTCGTTTTCTCCCTCTAACCAGATTGCACATCAAACGAACCTGTCGTTTCGAATTTTTGCATTATTTTCTTTAGATCCTACGACACTCATTAGGACCAACGCCTTCTTCTATATACCCTTTAGTGTCCTGAATTTTTGCAGAGCTACTCTTGCACAATCATCATTCTTGTAATACAACTTTACCAGCAGAGCGCAGTCCTGCAGTGAAACACCCATGGTGAACGTCTGAGACGCGAAATGAGGAACAGCCTGGTACCTGGCAGCTTTATAACACTGAAATTTAACTAACATTTTAATTTACGTCTTCTTCCGCTTGCAGCGCCATCTGTTGCTAACTTTTGAAACTAAATTTTTTCCTCTGCCATACGCTTTCCGCCTTCTTCAATAATATTCCTTTCAAATTTGACGTCATTTTCATGAGCGGTTCTTTTTTTATAGCGTTTTGAAACTTTAATTATAATCACCCTGTACTTTGTCATCCCATTGCTTCTGCCATTTGCTGAGAATTTTGCTTTTGACAAACCCTTTGATGTCTGCTAGTGGAATCTGAAGATTGTACATTGTGGTTCCCTTAATGGCAACGTGTCCTGGGATCCACAAATAAAGAATCTGGTATCCCCGAATTTTTAAAGAATGATTCAACTTCAGGATTCTGGTTGCAACTGGATGAGTACATTGAGCGTGATTTTCCAATGACATTAAGGCATTCATGGAATCTGTGTAGATAATAAATTTTATGTACTTTTGTTTTAAATATTACTGAAAAATATCAATAATAATAAAAGCAAAAAAGACAAAATTTCATTAAGCTGTTATTTAAAAAGAAAACATGTTCAAAATTAGCTCAGATTCTAGCCTCATCAAGAATGAGTCACTAACTTCCTTCATTTACTCAAGAAAGGAGGGAAAGTTTATTTTCTATAAGCAAGAATGAACTTTAAGAGTTTTCAACTTTTAAAAGATGCAAAAATTACATTTTTAGAGAATATTAAATACAGATTCAATCTCGTCTGTTTTTATATTATTTTCACTATTACGTGTATGGCAAATTTATGTTTTTGTAAGTACAATATAAATACAAATCACTTTCTCTTGAAACATCCACAACTACTAGGGCTGTTTACTGCAACCAAACAGTTCCAATCCTATAATTTTAGTCTAAAAGAACACAATTCAGATAATCCCATTAATGTATATGCATATCCCTTCTCCACACCAAAGAAAAATGCATATTTATATATCTTTCAGCAAAGTATGATTTATACCCCAAAAAGAAGTTATATATTTGATACAGAATTATGTATTACATTGTATCAAGTGCAATAACAGGCCAAAAGCAATTGGGATTATAGGTCATGAACTA